AAGCGTATGTATAGGAGAGGGAATGGGGAATCCTGCATGAGTATATATGGACTGAAAACACGTTTGAAAGAGGAAAATGTAAGAAAATTTACTTTTTAAAGCATAGATCGAAATAATTGCATCATACATAATTATGCATTAACACAATTATAATGATTTCAACTTTAATTGATAAGCCGATCCACAAAGATCTTGAAACATTATTTTCGAAATTTCCAAAATAGACTCTTTCCCACTTCATTTTATTGTCCAGCTTAAATATAAAAATAAGTTAAATGGTTGCAGCATTGTGCTTTCTTCTAATAGCTTCTAAGGACCACTTTTATTCTCTTTACGTGAAACAAACAAAGCTTAATTTAGGTTTGATGACTGAGGAAGAAATGGAAATCCTCGATGAGATCAAGGATCCTTACAGCAGGTACAGGCTTTTTATGGATCAATTCTGACAGATATTACAAAAAAATTAAAATCGTTATTGTTCACTCCGTTTTTCTGAGAGCCAGGAATCTTCAAGTTACAATCAATCGATCTAGTCTTAAATTCGAATAAATTCTCGTTATATTGCAATAATTACAGAAAGAAATGCATTTAAAGTCATGTTTTCCAGCAAAATGTCCATTATACAATAAAGTGAATAAATTTTTACAGATATTGGGCACCGATTCAATGGTGTGTCAATTTGGTATATGAATGCAAAGCTGATGGGAGAATAGAGGACTATTACCTCATGAATAAAATTGTTGATGTAAGCTTTTTTTGCAAAATTTGTATTTGTACAAACAGGATTTGCATGTCATCTGGCTCATAGGCTCTATTCTGCACAAGCTGTACTGCCTATATGGTATAACCAAACCAAGTAAATAATTTTGCTTATTTCTTGGTCGAGTGATAAAACTACTTTTTTATATATGTATAGTTTGTGTTCACAACCTTTTGCATTCTAAAGAATACTCTAATTTTCTGCGAGTAAACCACACCCTCAAAGCCTTGTTGGGTGCAAGACGAACGCGCGGCGCGTCGCAAATACTCTAAGAGGGCGCACTTTTCTCTCTGCTGTGCGCAGCACACTCTCGCTGAGCGCGGATGCTTTGCATGCGGCGCGACTAAGTCCTGCGCCCTATAAAGGTTTTAGCTGGAGCTTATCTACAAGAAATGAAGGAACTTTTATAAACAAGTACTCTAGTCAACTTCTTCTATTTTAGGAAATTAGCAAATTTCGTCATGGCCTTGCTTCACTTCTCAAATATGATTGGGTTCCAGTGCCACTTGTATATCCACAAGTACGTAAGATTTTCTAAGAAGATTTTTTTAATACTGTATATATTCGCACAATAAGAAGAACATTACAGGTCATTTTTCTTGCGGTTCGATTTTATTTTGTAATCTGTTTATTTGGTCGTCAATTTATTGTTACGGGAACAAACCCAAGCGGGGTGAGATTTTGATGTTTTTCACTTTATGGAACTTTCTCTGAAAATTTTATAAAAAGCTTGATTTAGATTGATCTATGGCTTCCTATAACTACAATGATTCAATTTATCGTTTATATGGGTTGGATGAAGGTAAGCGACTCTCATATCTTCAAAAATGTTCAACAGGAAAAAAGGCTCTTCTAGTGTGTCATCTATAAGTTAGGAGCGTTATCTTGAGGATCTATTTAGGTAAAATCGAAAATTCTCCCATTTTGTTAGAAGTTCTCATAGACTCGTATAGGTAACGTTTAGTACAAACCGTCCTGCAGAGGTTTTTGACGGTTGCTAGCATCTTAGGAGAGTAACGTATACAGCGCAATGGATAACCATGGATGGCTGCGCGAAAAAAAACATTGATTTTGCCAATTTTCGACGCTACAAGCGGTACGACATGTCAGCATAGAAAGGAAGAGAGACACGATTGTGTACGCAATATATAGACTGTTAT